TCTAATTATCTTCTGTATTTCTATAGTGTCTGTTGTGATATTGCCTTTTTCATCCCATATGTTAGTAATTTGAGTTCTCTCTCTTCTTCTCTTCATTAGCATGGCTAAGGGTCTGTCGATCTTATTTATTTTTTTGAAGAACCAACTTTTAGTTTTGTCAATTTTTTCAATAGTTTCTTTTGTTTCAATTTCGTTGATTTCCACTCTGATTTTAATTATTTCTTGCCTTCTGCTACATTTGCTGTTGTTTTGCTCTTCCTTTTCTAGGGTTTTGAGATGAAGTGTGAGCTCATTTATTTGTTGGTTTTTTCTTTTTTTGAGGAATGAACTCCAGGCAATGAATTTCCCTCTTAAAACTGCTTTCATTGTGTCCCATAGATTCCGATATGTTGTGTCTGTATTTTCATTTATCTCTAAGAATTTTTTGATTTCCTCCTTTATGTCTTCTGTAACCCATTGATCATTCAGTAACATATTGTTCATTTTCCAGGTGATGCAGGTTTTTTTCTTCCTTCTTTTATCATTGATTTCCAGTTTCATTCCATTATGATCAGATAAGATGCATGGTATTATCTCCACACCTTTATATTTACTAAGTTTTTATGGTCTGTCATGCAAGAGGACATCAAAATAGCCAATAAATAATATAAAGGAGTTTGGTATCATTACCTTTCTGGTAAATTCAAATTAAAACAGTAAGAAGAAACCATTGCGTAGGAGACTAACAATATAAAGTGCTGATAAGGTTATGGAGCAGGCAGAAATGCTATAAGATGCTGGTAGAACTGTAATGGGGTACAACTACTTTGGAAAGCAATTTAGCAGTTACCTCCTAAGCTGAAACATATGCTTATAGTAAGAACATAACATAACCCAGTGCCTGGATAACACCCAGGAGAAATCAGCACTTATATCCAAGGAAACAAAGGTTCAAGAATATTCATGGCATTTTTATCCATGAAATTGTGAAAGAGGAAATAATCCAAAAGTCCACAAATAGGAAAATGGATTAAAAATTACATTATTTTTACACTTTAGACTATCTCACTATAATAACAAAAAAACAATTTGTTGACCCACAAGGACATGAATGAATATAATAGTATATTGAGTGGAAAGAGGACAGACACCAAAGTATACATGCTGCATGTTCAAATGGAATCCAAGAACAGGCAAAATTAACTCAAGGCAACAGAAATCAGAATTATTATATATCTTTTGGGGTGGGGTAGAAGATAGTATAGAGAGGGAAGGAAACGTAAGAAAAACTTCCAGCATAGAGAAGGAAAGTTTTATATCTTAATCTGGTTAATGTTTATATGAGTACACACATATTTAAAAATTCCTTATTCTGTGCACTTGATATTAATGCTCATAATCACCTTTCTATATGTATGTATACTCTTAAATAATTAAAATCAATAAGAGAATTAGAATTGTTTTTAGAATTGTATTTAATAAATAAATTTGTAACTAATACTTCTGATAGAAGTGTGGGAATATATATTTTAGGTGAGAAGAAAATCAACACAGAAGTATGATAATAGGAGTATAGGAATTAATAAAAATATGCCTTAATGTTTATTTAAATATCAAAGAAATTAATAATTTGTATATTTAATGTTGAGAAGGAAAAACTAGAAACTTATAATATGAAGACTGTTGCATTTGTAATCACACTGAGCTAAGATCTGTTTTGTACTGGACAGAACGATGTAAAGCTGAATATGTATACAAAGGTATATATACAGAAATTAATTATAAATAATTAAAATAGTGATATAAATGCAAATTATATCTTCAATATATGAAAAGTAAGAAACAATGTATGAAACATTAAGGGTATTAATGGTTTTATTAAGGGCATATGTGGTTTTAATTCCTCATTCCTATCTACATCCACTTGGTTTTTCATGTCACCTGGAAGGGTCCTCTAACTCTGCCTTTGGGCTCAGCATTTGACTTACCATTTCCTTTTTATTTTAGCAACTGTAATGCAAACAGAAGCTTATGAAGTTCATGTGTTGCTGTGCTTGGCTTTCTCTATAGTCTCTTATTATAACAAGAACAAGAAAGAGTTTTGGAGAAACATGGCCTATAGCCAAATCTCCCCAGTTATTTCAACTAAGGCTTCCCTACATCAGCAGGAAGCTATCCGAGCCCAACAACAACAATAATAATTAATTAATAATGTACTAACTATAGCTATTAAGAAAACAATGAGCTTAAAGATGGTAGAATAGAGGCTGTTACTTTCCAAGCTGCTCTGTGGTATGAGTTCAGGAAAGTGGGAAAACAGCTTCTCTTTGAGGTGGGTGAAAAGAGAAATCTTACTGAGATCTGACACTGGACTCTCCAAACAGTGTAAGGACTCAGAAGTTTGGTTAGAATAAATTTTTTTAAAAGTTAAAATTTCTTTAACTGTGACCACTGCTGGCACAGGTGACCACCAATACAGATCCACCATAGGAGACTAAGAAAACCTGCATTTCAGGTTGCACTGTGGTATGTCCTGAAATGGAGAAATTAGTGATCAAGGACACTGTCAAAATGCTCCAGTGGGTGAACTACAATTTATTCTCATGTGGGAAATATGCTGCAGGGCTCCCAGGAGCCCATGGAGAGTTAAAGAGTCACCATCTATTCCCATTATACTATGGAGGCCAGTGGGTATGGGTCCAAACCCAGGCACCCAGACTTGTGTGATTCCAGGTAGGTCTAAAATTCTGACCTGGCAGAGGCTCATCACACAACCCAGAGTGTGACTAGAAAACCAGGTGAAATTCAGAGTGCTGTAACCAGGGGAATTCAGGACACTCAGACCCAAGAGATCCCGCGTGCCTCTCACCCTGGTTTGCAGGATCAGGAAGGGAGCACTGGGAACCTCATGGGGATGGGGGAGTGAATGTGCACTTGGGACTGAGTCCAAGAGGCCAGGATACAGGTGGCAGAGGGGGTAAAGGACTGGCTTCTCCACTGCACACGTAAACTCAGGGAAGACTCCAGGGGTACAGACTCCCAGCAAGGATCAGAAGCAGCTGTGCTCCAGTGGTGTGCTGATGGAAAAGATTCAGATCAAAAGGCACCTGGATCTAGCTACACCCAAACTCAGGCTCCAGGAGCTCCGCCTCTGGGAACTTCTCTCATAGAACTCTGGAGTGACCCCCTCACTGTGAGTGGAGCAGACAACACCCTCCAACCCGCCCCACCTCGTACTGCCAAGAAGAGAAATTGAGAACAGGCAACTTGACCATGACAGCCTCTGACTACTAATTTTGTGCACAATACATATCCCAAGAAAAAATGGAAATAAAGACAATCGGGAACAGACAGAATTCCAAGAGTCAAAGAAGGTGTCAGTCAGTATTCCAGGAAGACATAACAACTTACACTTGTATGCATCTGAGAATATAGCTTCAAAATACACGAAGCAAAAAATGATGGAATCACCAAACATTAGATGGACAGATATACCACCATAGTAGGCGATTTTGTAGTCCTCTCTCAACACTTGAGGGAAAAGTAGTTAAAAAAATCAGTAATAATACAGAATGGTACTTCTCCAAAATCACCCTGGGATCTTTTAAAAGTACAGATCCTTAGTCAGTAGGCTTGGGTTGAGACTGAGATCCTATATTTTGAAAAAGGACCAGAAAATGCTAATGTTGTTGTACAAAAATTAATCTCTATAATAGAAAATTTGACCCCAGAAATAACTGAAAACAATACACTCAACAAGAATAAATGCTGTATTCAATTACACAAGGAATATTTAATAAAATATATTTATATGTATACAGCATATGTATACACATACATATACATGTATGTACGTTTCTATCACATGTATACCTGTGTGCGTGTGTATGTGCCATGTCACTGAACCATCTGTTAAGACTTATAATTTTCAGTGGGTTAAATCTATATAATATTCTCTGAGTAAAATACAACTTAATAGGAAAGCAATAATAAAAAGATAATTAGAAACTTACAATGAAAAATCTTAAATACACATATTTAAATACATTTTTCATCACCCACGGGTCAAAAAAATGCATGATGAAAATTAGAAAATATATATGAGATTGAATGATAATGAAAATACAACAGATCTAGTGAGTTACAAAAGAGACTTATCCATTAAATAACAGATAATCTTTAAGTACATGTTGACTATATATTGGATGTGAGGAAATAGAAGAAACTTAACAAAATGATTTTATCTAGTTCATAGAATTTTGTACAAATTGCGTTCCATTTTGCTTATATTTATTTGAAAATCCATAATAAATGAGTTAATTGAAAAAATGAAATTTTGGGCTGAGATTGTGGCTCAATGACAGAGTGCTTGCCTTACACGTATGAGGCACTGGGTTCGATCCTCAGTACCAATATAAATAAATAAATAAATAAAGGTATTGTGTCCATCTATAACTAAAAAATTTTTTTTTTAAAAAGTGAAATTTTATGATGACACCCAGAGCCATAAAGAATTTAAAGCCAATGAAAGCACGTGGAAGAAAATCAGCAAGTACAAATACATCAAAAATAATTGTAAAATAAAAGTACTCAATTAATAATATGCCAATATAATTAATACATAAACTTTTAAATACTCCATTTTATTATTAAGCAAATAAAGTTAAATAAGTGCTACATTTATAATTAATGCATTAGTATGTAATATTTATTTTACTAATATCCCCCATTTTTAAAAATACAAGGTAGTCACTTTTGTACATGGATAGCAGAGATATAGATTGCTGATATCCTTAGACAAGTTGGCAATCTATATGAAAAACTTGAAAATGATAGACATATACTGCTTTAGGAATTTACATAAATTTGCATATATAAAATATACATATTTAAACTTATATATAAGCTTGTTGATAAGCAAGATATTCTTTTTATCTGAAATTTTTTAAACAGTAATATAACATTTTTAATTAGAATTTTATTTCTAAATGCTATAGGTAGCATTTGTGCAAAATTCTTACTTGTAGTTCTCTATGCTTGCTTTATCACAGGAAATATCTTTTTCCATTTCTTCTTTAGCTTGTTTAGCTTTCAATTTGGCATTTTCAAAGGCGTCTTTAGCTTCTTCAAGTGTTTCATGAACTTGTCTGAACATTTCCATTACCTGGATGTAGAAAGTACTTTTTAAACATATTAACTTAATGGTTAATTAAAAGAAAGAACTTTAACTTAGGGAACTGTTACTTAGATAAAAAGTTCTTCATACACATTTTCTTCCCATATTTAGTCTACTGTTTCAAAAGTGGAGTTTCAGGTTGCTTTTACCCTGGTGGGCATCCACACTATAAGTTATTGACAAAATAACTTCAATATCCAGATTAACATGTCCAAAATAAAATCATTGTCTTTTCACCTTCCAAAACAGTTGTTCTCATTGTGCAAATAATATTTCATTGTACAGCAATATGAGAAAAAAGATGAATAAAGAAAATAAAAGCACCTGTACTTCCTTCAACCAGAAATAACCATTGTTATCTCAGTGTAATAGTTAAAAATATTTAACTTTTTTGGCGGGGGTTACTGAGGATTGAACTCAGGGGCACTCAACTACTGAGCCACACCCCCAGCTCTATTTTGTATTTTATTTAGAGACAGGATCTCACTGAATTGCTTAGTGCCTTGCTTTTGCTGAGGCTGGCTTTAAACTTGTGATCCTCCTGCTTCAGCCTCCCAAGCCACTGGGATTACAGGCATGTGCCACCATACCTCACAAAATATTTAATTCTTAACCGGTTTCATCCATTAACAAACTTCATAAACACTCCCCTTTCCCTCTGCAACACACCCTTCTGTGTCTCTGTCTATCTATCATCTATGTACCTATCTCTGAAACACATCATTTTTATATACTCTTCCCTTATACACACATTGTACCTCCCTCAGCTCATTGTCAATTATGTGTACATCATGCACAACTTGATGTGCACAACATAGGAGCGGTGCATAGCCTAAACATTACTGTGATGGAAGACTCATTAGTAAACTGCACTACCTTCAACATTTCCCTCAACTGTATTGTTAAAGGAAAAGACACCAAGAAGCTAAGGCTTTTTGTAAATATTGGTTGCTATCTTACTCTCCAGAAAAGGGCTAACAACTTGCATTCTTACCAACAGAACAAGAGGGAACCATGTTTCAAAATCCTTTCCAACATTTTAAATAAATTTTTTCTAAAAGAGTTTTCAAATTAACAGATTGAAGAGGTTGTCCATGTAAATTTTATTAGAGTTTGATTATTTCTTTATATAAAAATTTTGGAATGTCTGACTTTCTTTTATTATAGAAAGCCTTCCTATCTTAGAATATATATATATATATATATATATATATATATATTAGTATCTTAGAATATATATATATATATATATATATATATTCTAAGATAAGTGTGTATATATACACACACATAGAGAGAAAAAGTATATATCATTTATATATATCATATCTTTATTTTTGTCACTAAGAATTTATAATTGTAGTCTTACATGTCTACCTTTATACATTTCTTAATAAATATTTAATGACTACTATTTATAATATAAAATTTCCATTTGTATTCCTAACTATTTATTGACAATATGGAGAAAGATTATTCATGTTTGTAAATGGGGACTAAAATAAACCCATCTCTATCTTTCTCTCCTTCTCTCCTATTGGTTCTGTTTCTCTGAAGAACCGTAATACAGATACCTTGAACCTAACAACTCTCCTTCTACTGTTCTCACATCTCTGGGCCACTCCCTGTATCCTGCATTCCTGGTCTTATCCACCTTCTAGATATTCAGGGGCCAAAATGAATGAGAGTCTTGCCTTCTGCAGTGGGACCCAGGGACTGTGATGAAACTATCTATTACGGGTGGACACCAGAGGGAAAGTCATTCCCCACAATGCTGATGGGGTGCTATTACAAAAGGTTATAAATGCCATGCACGAAACACGAAACCTCCACAACAGAGTGGAAGAAAAATGATTCCTTAGAAAAAGAAAATATTTTTCATTTATAAAACAAGCATAACTGACAAGATTCAAAAATGAAAAGCAGAATTATGAACAATGATAGGATCAACCCCTCCTTAGAGAGAAAGAGTCTCTGTAGGAAGAGGCTGCAGGAAGGTAGGATAGAATAGTTCTTCAGATCACAAGTTCTGTAGCAGGAGTCCTTGTGTTCAATCCCTCTTGTGTGTATTATTTAGATCTTGTGTAATTTTTTTAAACCTTTGTGCCACCGGTTTTCATTTTCAAAATGAATGTAATAATAGTGCCTGTATTCACATGTGTGGATGAATGAGACACATAGAGATGAAGCAGAACATAACAAAACTCATCAGATATTATAGAGAGTTGTGTTCATAGGGAAATTCATAGCTATAGACATTTACATTTAAAAAGAAAGATCCCATTCCCATAACCTACACAAACCCCCAGCAAAAACAAACAACACCAAAAAAACAAAACAAACAAACAAACAAAAAAAAAAAAAAAACAAGGAAAAGGGTAGCAAGCTAAACCCAAAAGCAGAAGAAAGGAAATGATAAAGATCAGAGTAGAGACAAAATGGAGAATAGGAAAACAATAGAGTTAATAAATATCAAAAGTTGGTGTTTGAAAAGCTAAAATTTGCAAAAATTTAGTTAGACCAATCTAGAAAAAAAAATGAAGAAAGAAACTCAAATTACTAAAATTAGAAATGTGACAACCCAATTGTCTACCATGCCAGACCCCTATCACATTGTGACATAGTAGCACTAGTCCCAAGCATTATTTAGGCATTGTGTAATTTCAATAGGTTTCTGGCAAATGCCTCAAAATTGGGTCAAGACAGCACATTAAAAAAAAAATCAAATGATATTATAAACAAAACACCGTAAACTTTATATAGGATGGACAGAGAGCCTGAGAGAGAAGGCTGCCTTCCAAGTAGGCCACTGGGCCCCTCATTCCCTTTCCTAGAATTACCTAGAATTGTCTGCTGTGTGAGGTTAGCAGATGCAGACTGCAACTAGAATTCCAAAACAGAAAGAAAAAAGAAAGTGGTGGGGGAGAGACAAAACAAACAAACTAACAAACAAAAGCAAAAATATCACAATATAGGGGGAGGAAGTAAGTTGAGTTGTTCTCTTGGGTAAAGAACTCTTGGAATGTCTTGCCTCACAGATACCCAAAATGTAAATCAAGGTCACACATGTCTACCCACATTAAGCCTTCATCGGGACACTCCTTATTCCCTTCAGGATTCCGGACATTACACATTTTACTTCTTAGAATCCACGGTGTGTTATATTTTCTTACCTTGTTTTGAGGCCTGGGCTAACCTCTGGCCATTCCTCTCTGTGGGCAATGCATTAAATCTGCACCCCCAACCACTTCCTGAGTTCTCACATTCTGGGTCACTATATACACGCCTGTCCTATTCTCTAACAGGCCCCAGACAAGTAGGGAGAGCCTACATTCTGGAGCCCACTGAAATTACTCAAATTAGCCACTCCATGGGGTTCACATGATTATAGAGGTACAAGTCTAAAATCTGTAGTGTGAGCTGACAGGCTGGAGACCCAGGCAAAATTTACAGTCTAAATCCAAAAGTAGTGCACTGATAGAACTCCTTGCTGCTCAGAGTAGGTCAATATTATGTTAAGGAATTTAATTCATTGGTTAAGGCTCACCCACATTATGAAGGGTAATTATTCTAAATCCACTGACTTAAATGTTAATCTTATCCAAAAAACTTCTTAACTGAAACATCCACAATGTTTTGCCAAAAATCTGGGCCCTGTGGCCCCACCAGGTTGACACATAAAATTAACCATCGTAGTGACTCTGATAGGCTTTACACAAAGTTTGCTATTTTCCTGGAGTGCTAGGTGAATTTGTGCTTTTCTTCTACCCTACATCCTGCCTAGTCTTAAAATCATCCAAAAACTCTGCTTTCTCCTGCCTACAACATTGCCAAGTTCCTCTATCAGAGAAAAGCACACTAAAACAACAAAGGGATACTAATTTAAACACATGTGGGCAAAATTTTTAAAGTATGACAATAAAAATGTTGACAAAATATGAGTTCTAAAATTAGTTAGGATGCATTTAGCTGGAAGTAACAGAAATAAGCCAAGTAAGTTGCTTACTTGAGAATGCAGTTGTACGTTTTTTTTCACAGAAATGGATTCAAGTTCCCCTCTGCCTTTTTGTCTGTCCAGCCATCTCTACAACTGGCTTCCATTCCTAAAATTGTTCCATGCCATACAATGGAAATTAGAGCTGTAGCTATCATATAGATTCTAGGTTGCTGGAAAGTGGAGAAAAATTCTAAAAGGTGCTTCCTTTGAGTGAGTTGTCCATTTCAAAGATTTTTCATAGAAACTCCATCCAATGATTTCTACGTCTGTATCATTAGAACACAATGGGAAAAAGGAGGAACTGGGAAATAATTTGACACATTGTGTTCCAACCATGCAGAGATGAGTTACTAAGAAAGGACGGGAATTTTGGGCCACAGTGGAAACATGAGACGTCTTTGGCACTGTCACTTCTAGAGTAATGTGAATTGTTACAGGTACTCCAAGGAGAAACTTGTTATTATCCATAAAATCAAAAATAAATATAATCCATATCCTAATAAAGAATACGTAGCTAAGAAAAAATATAATCCATATCCTAGTAAAGAATACGTAGCTACTAGTTAAGAATACGTAGCTAAGAAAAAATTCACATGCACCTAGAGAGGAACCCATTTACAGATGATTATTGTTTCAAGTCAAATCAGCAGTTGTGTCAGCAAAATTTGGAAATAAACGTCCAAGAGAGAAAATGCTTAATAATAAATTGTGAGGTATTTACTTGATGGAACACAGCAAGTAAAATAAGTGAATCAGAGTATCTCAATTGTAGCTTGATTAAACTAAGGCAATGAAAGATTAAAGAACAAGTTGCCCAGTTATAAAATTTGTGATACTATTTATACCATTTAAAGATATAGATTATTTTAAAATTATCTTTATATAAATTATTCAAATTTTTCCTAGAAATAATGAAATTTATATTAGTTATCGTTCAAAAGGAGGATGGAAATGGAACTGCTGAAGTGAACACAAAAGACATGGAAAACTTGTTTTATACACTTTAAAATAATCAAAAATAAATATAACACAAACTTAAGCTTGGTTTTTGTGATAGATATAAATAAATTGTTTTTTTTTTCTATAATATGATTGCACAATAGGAGAGGTAAATGTTATTTAATCATTAAAGACCATTTCACTTACACTTTTCATCAACAATGAAATCACTGATATATTCTACTTGCATTCTCCCTCAGTTCAATTGTGGCTTTAAAAAAATACCAGACTGTCTAGGCACAGTGGCACACACCTGTAATCTCAACACCTGGGAAAGCTGAGGCAGGAGGATCATGAGTTCAAAGCCTGCCTCAACAACTTAGCAAGGCCATAACCAACTTAGCAAGATCCTGTCTCAAAATAAAATATAAAAAAAAAAAAGGGCTGGGAACTTGGCTCAGTGGTTAAGAGCCCCTGGGTTCTATCCCTGGTTACCCCTGCCCCACCATTATATATATATATGTAAATATATATATATATTTATTTATATGTAAAAGAAGTGTATACACACACACACACACACACACACACATATATATATATATATATATATATATATATATACCAGGCTCTTTTGAATCTCCAAAATGTCATTAGTAAATTGACTAATGTTAATCTCCCTAGGTATAAATATAAATGAAGAAAATATAGATAAAATGTACCAATAGATTGTACTGTATACAGTCTATGAAGTCCTATGAAAAATAAATAGCATGTCAATTTGGAGAAAAAAATATTAAACCTTTTAAAAATATGTTAATTTCTTATGGTAGAAATATTTTTGCATAACCAACCACCAGTTTCTGAGATGCATATCCATGCAGTTATTCATTTACCTCAGCTTCCTTTTGAGAACACTCCTTCAGAGCTTCCACTTCCTGCTGCCGCTTTGATCGCAGTAGAGGGCCATATTGAAGCATGTAGTCGATGTCCCTTTGAACCTTCGCGTTGGCTTCTTCTAGCTTTGTCTTTTGTTTCTCCACATGTTCCAGTTGACGAATTCTGCCTTCCAGATGCCATTGTAATTCCATAATGTCTCTCAAGTAGGCATCATGTTCTAGATGTAGAACAAGAACAAAAGACAATCAGATTTTGAAACAACAGATCCAAAAGGAAATCTTTGAAAATAAATGAGACGTTTTTGCTTCAGAAATTACTTTGTGAATCTTACTAATCTTAAAATCTAAATCTAAAATAAGGATTACTGTAATATTAAATTGTAAAATACAGTGCTTTCTTCATTCATCACTAAACAAATTAAAATGTGTTTTATAAATTAGTAATTGTTTAAGTACAAATTACACTCACCATGATCTACAGATATACTGATCATTCTATACCTGCATTCTATGTATGCAACTCCTCCAAAGTGAAAAAATTGCAAGAGTGGGGGCCTTCTAAAACCACCCACATCTAAAGTGATGAAATTGGAGTTACAAATATCAGAATGGAAAAGGCAAGAATTACTACGGGTGATACAATTATATGACAAAACACAAAAATATCAGCTGAAAATTGTTGAAAAGTTAATAGACAAAATAAATGTTTTCATAAAGAATATCTTGAAAATGATTTTGCAGCAACAAAACTATAATGTAAAATAAGCTGCGTAAATCTAGTAATAATCTCTACATGAACCAAGAAAGGCCTGAAGGAAGAAAACAACAACATGCCATCCAACAACTAGAAAATGAATTTGAATCAATGGATAAACATGTTTTGTTTTGTATAAAAATGTTTTGAAATTTTTAACATGGAAATTTCCTTTGATTACTTTATAAATTTAATTAAGTCCCTTCAACCAACCAAGGCAATTTTAGGCTAATAAGATTTCCTCATTGTGTTAACCTCCTAATGTTAAACCAATCTTGCATTTTTGGAATAAAACTAGGCAGGTTAGTTGTTGTTGTTGCTTTTAATCTTTCTAAAGAGATTTATTGATGGAATTTGCTGATGTCTTCACAGGATTATTTTGTACATTTATAGTCATGATTAATGCTTATCTGTGAATCTTATTAAATCCAAAAAAAAGTTGTTTTAATATTGCATTATAAAATACATTGTTTCTTCATTCATCGCCGAAGTAATTAAAACATGTTTATAAATTAGTAATTATTTTAGTAAAACTCCCACTTTTTTACTGATTCTGGTAAACAAGCTACCCTATGATTCATCTTGCCATTGTGGTTCTCCATATTTACTCTTTCCATTAGTGACTTCTTAATGAGCCAATACTTAGCTTTGTGTATCTTCTGATTGTGTATTTTCACTATTTTCCACTTTGTTATATATGTATTTTTCATATTTGTACCATCTTCACCTAATTTTGATTTATAATTTATGCTAGCTTCTTATATAATTTTTCGCTTTCTTTTCTCTAAGACTTTACAGAATTTTGAAATTACATGTAAAGCCCTATCTCTCTAGTGTACATGTGTGCTTTTATTTTGTGGGGAAAAAAATTTCAGTTTTTGTGTCAGGAGCTGCCACATAGGAGCTGAGCGCCCCCTAGCTTTGAACAATGGAAATGGGGAGACTGGCTTCCTTGACCTGGAAGCAGGTGGATCCCCATCTCGTTCAGCAGAGAAGCAAAGCTTTGGGAATGGGCTTTACTCAATGGGAGTGGGCTGCCCCTTGTAACATTATCCCTTTGCCTTACAAGGATGGAATGTTCTTTCCAACAGCCTCCCCAAATAAAACCAGGGTTTGAGGGACGCTCTCTCTTTTTCCAACAGACCCCTAAGGTCCAGAGCCATCACAGAACCCAAAGAAAAAGGTACTTTCTGTCTCTGTGTAATTATTTCGTGCCAACACAAATTCACCTGGAGTGACCCTGAAGGGTTTATTTGCGTGTCAGGGCATTTTTGAGTCAAAATCTTTCCATTAATGACCATGTGAATATTTTGGTTATCTAATCATCAATCCATTTTTCTGTGCACTTATTACTCAGTTCATCAAGATTTTAACAATATTCTAATAAATTTGTTCTTAATATCTTCTTTACTATTAATCAGTGCCACATCTCTATGTAATTTCATTCCAAATGTCACTCATGGGTACATCCTCTGTGATTCTGAATGACCTTGGAATTGGTTCTCCATGTTCACTCTTTTCATTAGTCTCTTTTTAATGAGCCAACCTTTACATGTATGTATCTTCTGAATAAAGTATTTTAAATTATTTTTTCCATTTTGTAATTGTTTTTTTTTTCATTTTTCTTTGTATTTATTATTTTTGCTTTTTAAATTCTAAAGTCATTTTTATAATCAATTAGTCCTTTTTGATGCAACAAAAGCTACTGATTTCTCTTTAAATAATAGGATGATAGTAAGTTTTTAATGATACATTTCTGAATATCTTCTAATTTCTTGGATATGTACTATGTGACACCATGACTTTCTTACTTTGTCTACACTCACTATAGACAGTAACATGTTTATCCATTTACTACTGTGGTATTAAATATCACCATCATTATTTTCATGTTTATCTTACAGTAGATATTCATTATATTCTCCCATTCTATACTCCATGCTTTTAAATATTTCATCTTCCTATTCGTTCTATTGCAGCAATACATTCCATGCAATTTCTTCAAATTTTAGTTACCAATTACTTTTCTCTTCTGAGTCTAATGAACAATACAAGTAACTATTGAATTGGCAAGCTTAAGTAATGTATTTTTCATTTCTATTAGTGTTTTTCCTTCCTATTTTGCCATCTTTAAAAAATTGTCCTTGCGTTTATTTTCAAGCATCTCTTTTTAGTTCTTGAAACAAATCATACTTATTTTATAATTTCATGTATAATACAATCTCTGAAATATTTAAGTAAAATTCTGTGGTTTGTACTCATTTGCACTCATTAAATCAGAATCTCTGTGTGTTTTATAGAATTTTATGCTGAGCTTCTCCTCCTCCCCACCCCCCAGAACTTTATCTGAACTGATGCTCTGGTGCCTACACTGAAATTTTAGTCTTTTGGAGGAAATTTGTCTTTGCTCCTGCCAGATGCGTCATTTTACTATCGACCCACAGAACATCTAAATAATATTCTCCACTTAATTTTCAGACACATAGACAGCTGGAAGTTGAGTCGCAAATTTGTTTGAAATTAGGACATTAATAAATCTCAGGAACATTGTTTTCCTCCATTGACTAAATGAAACAAGCAAGTTTGTTGTCTGACCTGAATGACAGGTTTATTCATGATTTGCTCTTATGCTAAGTATGTAGATCTTCTGATTCTGAGCTTCCTCATCATCTTTAATTAGACTTGTCACTTTGGTTTAGCCTTAGGCTTTATTTCTGGTCTCCTCTATCCTTCAGATACATCAAAATGGGAACCCATGAAAATCCTGGTATCCCTCAAGACTAAATCTAACATTGATGCCTAATTATTTCCAAAAGTTTCCATTCCAAACATAAAAGTTGGTACTGGTGTGTTTCTTATTTTCTTAAAAATTTGTCAGGGTATTTTAAGGGACTTTTAAAAAATCAAAATACACACAAAAAACTGACAACTAAAAAACACTTGAGTATCATTGGTTTTTTTCTTCTGATTTTAATGTATTATTGGAGATTTCAGTATCCTATCCTTGATAATTCAATGAATAACAAGACAGGAAATCATTAAGGAGATAGAAGACTTTAACAGCAGTGTCAACTAGCTTAACCTAACTGACATGTCTACTAGATACTCTACTCAACAATAGCAAAATATATACTAATTTCATCTGTACAGGACATTTTCTAAAGGCCTAGGCAATTCTTAAAGTATAAGTAATTTTAATACAATTGAAACAATTCAAGAATGTTTTTGAGCAAATAAAATTAATTTAGAAATAACAGAAAATTTTGAAAATCTCATTATATTAGCAAATCAAGCAGCAACTTCTAAATAAATAACAGATCCAAAAACAATCACAAGGGAATTTAGAAATATTTTGACTAAATAAAAATGAACTCAGCATATAAACATTTATGAAATGCAATTAACATAAATGCAATTAATACAGGTCTTAGGAGGAAATTCATAGATTGAAATATCAATTCTAGAAAAAATTTACCAAGGAAAAAAATCAAAGCTTCCACTTTGTGTTTGTGTGTGTGTGTGTGTGTATAAATGTAAATTATTCCTAAGAAAGTTCCAGATGAAAGTCAGAGAAAAATCAGTGATATAAAAGTAGAAAAACAATAGAGAAGTCAGTAAAAGAAAAAGTTGACTTTTTGAAAAGGTCAACAAAATTGACAAACGTTTTGCTAGACTGACCAAGAAAAAAAAAAGAAGGAACAAATTACTAGTATTGGGGGAAAAAGAGGTGTTACCACTACTCTTGCTATGGAAATTAAAATAATTATAAAGGAATATCATGAACAAAGTTTTGCCAGCAATAAGACAACTAAATGAAATGTCTGGATTCCTCAGAAAATATAAATTATCCAAACTGGTTCAAAAAGTAGAAAACAGAAGAGACTTAAAATTAAGAAAGAAGTTAGCTATTTAAAATAAGTTGGTATTTTAGTAAGTTGGGTTTTTTGTTTTTTGTTTTTCTGCTGAGATTAAAAGACCTGACTAGAAGAATTTTAGGGTAGAAAAAGTTTATTTGAGAGCTCACAGTCTCAGAGGTCTCCATCCATAGATATCCTCAGGGCTCGAGCTAAGGCTGAACATTATGGTGGGAGAATATGACATAAGGAAGCAGATCACATGATGAACAGGCGCAGAGAGAGACAGATTCCACTCTCCAGATACAAAACATACACCCCAAAGGCACACCTCCAATGACCCATCTCCTCCAACCACACCCTACCCACCTTAAGTTACTACTCAGTTAATTCTGTCAGGGGATTAATTCACTGATTGAGTTAAGGCTCTCATAACCAGAACATTTCTTCCCTAAACCTTCTTGCCTTGTCTCACACATGAGCTTTTAGGAGACACTTCACATCCAAACCATAACAGCTGGCAAATTAGACTAAACAGGTTGGCCATGGATATAAAAATTTGTAACTGGGCCCTGCTAGAAAAAGAACAACTTCAAGAAAATTAAAAAGCAAACAATCAAAGGAAAAAAAATTTCTAGCTTGTAACTTATGAAGGTTTAGAGGTAAAATTCAACTAATAAATTAACATAACTGTTCCAGATAAGTGAAATTCCTAGGATCAAAATAGAGGCAAAACAGCAATCAAAAGCTCACTGGACTTGACCTCTCCCCGAACAGGCCACCAATTGCCTTGACCAGCACAGCCAATCTCGTGGGTTCTGGTGAGGGGCAAAGGGGGATGAGAAAAATAAAGACACAGATTGTGAAGACATAGCTGGGGTCAGGTGGAGCACGGCTCTTTGAGGGAGAAGCAGGTCTAAAGAATTATGCCAGCAGTCTTTATTTATACGTGTCTCATTATCAGATTAAAGATTATGCAAGCACTATTTTTTTGTATTCATGATAGTTACAGAGTTAGCAATATTATGCAGCTTATTCAGCAGTTACATTCTATAGTTGCAATGTGCAATGTCAGGAGCTTTGTGTAGCTGTCAAGAAAGTCCATTGTTTAAAGTTACTCTTATGCAGGCAGGTTTAGGAGAAGTGGAGCTTGGTGAAACATTGTGGTTGTCCAGCAAGAGAGTTCCTCTATTCCCAGGAACTATGTGCCTAAGATCAAGGTCAAGGATGATAAGATTGTAGCACAAAGCCTCCTTATGGAGGGCATTACCACAGCAGCTAGACATCCTGCACCTTTGTACAGAAAGTTTCCCAGGCACCCAGCATGCCATAGCCATGAAGTCATCAGAGACCCCAATCTCAGACACTGCTCTCCACATATAAGTCCATATAGACCCCATGTAGATTATACACAAACTGATCAGCAAACAAAGATTAATAAAACTAGGCCTCAAAATTAACTTTTTCTATTATACTAACAAGGAAGAAGCATTATGAAAAGTGCAGATGACTCCTTGTAGGTGTGAATATGAGTCTGCCCAAGAATCACCTGAGATCTAGGATTTCCCAGGATGTCCGTGCTAACTCAACTGTAGTCTCATTGTTTTTAAAACACAAATACAGGCACATATATAGCATGCATATATAAATCACGTAGTTACACTATTGCATAGATAACAGAGTACACATATTATAAATTCTATTCAAAGAAAAAAAATTAGAAAAAGAATAACATTCAAGAGAATAAATAAAAGATCTAATGTTTTGTTGAAACTCCCCTGAATGTGTACCCCTCTTTGGAGACTACAGCTTGAAAGACTTATGACGTGACAAAAATGTATGTATGGATTCACCATGACACATACCTTTAGTTAATAACTATTGTCTCAGAGTAATAATTAATAGCATTCCTTTTTCTCTCAAGGTTTTCTTGATTTAAATGATAGATTACATGGATGCCCAATTGTTTAAAAAACAACAACAACAACAAAGTATATGAATTCTGAATTAAATTTTTCCCCTTATAAAGGGGTAAAAACCTCCCAGCCTCAGGCAGAATCAAGTAGTTAGGAATGTTTTGACAGGCAATGTTCAGAGCACAAAAACAAAAACAAACAAACAAAACCCCACAGGTTTAGATTGTGTAGCACTTTGGACCATGTCCCTGGCTCTGCAGTCTAAAAGACATCAGTTTCTTCTTAAACATTTTTTACTTACATGACTTGGAAACATTAAGGGTTCCATCTCTGATACAAATTCCTTTAAAAGTAAATTGGCTTCTGAATTCTCAAAAACATAGACACACGTAGTTTTCAACACATCACTGAAAACTTTCAATTTTCCTACAATTAAAAATGTGGCCAATAATACCAACTAGAAATCACTTTAAATTTCTAGTAACTTAAATACTACTGCCAAGGTAAAAATATATACCAAATGTCTGTATGCCCCTGGGATATCATAAATGCATGGAATTTCCAACAGACCTAAATGACAGCAGGCTCAGTTTTCCTCAGTGCATTTCCAGTGTATGCCTATGAATTCAGCAATCTTATTAATACCATCTTTCAAAAGTGTCCTGGTTTGTAGACAACATACAGTCACTCTAAACAGGTGATTTTTTTGTACACAGAGCTACAAATGATTATCTGTGCTTCCCCAACAAAGGAAATGGCAACAATAGAAAATCCTTATTATTACCTTTCTGCACAGCTAGTGGGAGTTCTTGAAGTTTCCAGATTGACCACGCATCAATTTTTGTGGTAATCTTTCCCTTTCTTAATTTTTGTTGATTTAAAGTTTCTTCGGCAATTGCCCGGTCAGTTTCTAGACATTTAATGAGATGGATCGTCTCTGACAGCAATGTTTCCATTTCTTTCTTTAACTCAGGACAGTTTTCATCTGAAAATAGGAAAATGCATTTACATTTGTTAGTGAAGCAACCTGCAAGCTGTGTGATGGGAACATGGGTCTTAGTTGGATTATTATTCTTTTAAATATTTATGCACTTAATAAGAGAATGTTAAAAAAATGAATTAGCCTTTTAAAGACAGTCTTATTATAATACAATCATAACATTGATTATAATCTTTGAAGGCAAAATTTTTCAATGAGCAATTTCTATAAAAAAATACATCACATAGAACCAGAAGAATGAGAAATTATACTTCATTTATGTAGGATATGTCAAAATGCATTCTACTATCATGTATAACTAATTAGAATATATTTTAAAAGGGCTACATCTTAAACCATATGTTCAAGAATAATATAATTTCATTACAGTACATGGAAAAAACACATGTTATATGCACAACTGTACTATACAACTTTATTTTTAATTTATGAATGTGTTTCCTACCATTCTATAAGAAAACAAATCAAAATTATTATATCAGACAAATACTGAAGATCCTCAGATGGTTCCTAGAAATGAACACTTTATATTCTTCAAGCTTATCAGACAAATAACTTCTCTCTTTAGCTTTACCAGAAATTCATCAGGATTTCCAAATTCTATTTATTTTCTTATAATACAAATTAACTCCTTTAATGATAGATATTTGTGATTCCTGGTTCACAGCACTGAAATGATATGACTTAATATTAACGGAAGTATTGCCATGGTATTCATCCATCTATTTACAGGAAAAAAATGTGTACAGAGGTTATTATTTTCAGGAAATAGGATCTACCTTGGAGATAAGAAGGTAAATAAGATAGATAATGTTCCCATCCTTATGGGATTTATATGTATAAGCAGTGACTTTTGCCAAAGTGTGACATGATGAGAATACTTATAACCAAACTGTCAAGAGCTAAGGTGGGAGGGAAAATAGTATAAAAGCAGAATGGAAAAAGGTAATTAATAAATTTCCTTTTTGTTTTGCTTTTGGACAATAAAGACAATGATTTTTCTGCTCTATGATCAGATTACGTAAAGGTAACATGATGGTTATAAGTGTAAGCTCACAGTCACTCAGGAGATCCAACCTACTGGGCTTGTCAGAGAAATTCTGCATGGTGCCAAAAAGAATTCTTGACAAACAGGATTCTCTATTTTAATGCATAAAAATGATTTTCTCTGGTCTGGCGTTAAGTTAGTCTCTCTAAACCAATTGTTTGGTTTTGCCAAGTTCTACCACTTCCTGGGTACTTTATATACTTTTTTTGTGAATCAAAAATTTTTAAATGAAAACATACTTATGGAACACTGTGTTCTCGAGCCAATTTGTGATTCACTCTGTCATCAATTTATAAGATTTCAGCCTGAAACTCACAAGGAAGTGAATACTATTTCAAATTAAAACATTCTGAACTGGATTTATATGTGTTTTGCCAAAATTGTTCATTTTTTTTTTAAATTGTCTTTTATTCTGTTCCTGTAATAGCATTCTAAAATAATTGCTGTACATACATATCTTGGGGTGCATCTAATTCATTATATTAAACATCTAATATTTTTTCCTACAAATACATTTACTGTTTCATACTGGCTAAGTAAACAATCACCTGCAATTTTTAACATAAACATTTAGTTACAATAAATCTCCCTCATCCTTCCACTCTTGTGTGTTTTAGACTCAAATGTACATATTTATAATAAACATAAATGTGGATAATTTAGCTATAGCCATGACCATTAATATGTTAATCTTTTCTTTCTGCATTTGTCATTTGAAAACTTGGGAAATAAACAAGGTTGTCAACTTCATTGTAGATGCAAATAGTGAAAAGAAAAACAGTCAAAACAGAGTCCCATCATGATGAGAGCTTTGAAGAACAAAATACTCTTCCTCTTTAAAGGAAAAGTGAGTTGAGTTTATCACTTTTCCTTCATTAACTTTTTCTTACAAATTTTTGTGGTGGGTGAATAGGAAGTATTTCATGTAATCTTGAGAATATAGTCAAAGTAATGTTAACCCAAATTTTAGACCAGCATATAAAATATGGTATGTTTTATAAAATGTAAAATGTTTAGTAATCACAACTGAAATACAGACTAGGGCTGCAATGTCCAATATGGTGCTCATGAACCACAGGGAACTGTTCACATTTAAATGTAACTTAACAAGATTAAACTTAGGAATTAAGTTCCTCAGTTCCATCTAGCCCCATTTCAAAGGCTCACCAGCTGTATATGGTTAATAGCTACTCTATTGGACAGAACAGATGAAGAGCACTTCAATTATAATAAGTGTTCTACTGAACAACCCCTTTACTGCAGTTATCTTTTTGAAAGTTGGGCAGACATCATGATACACTCAGCACCTAGAGCAGTATCTGGTACATAATAGTGTTAATAAATATTCGTCGAATGAATGCCTCATTGAATGAAATGGAGGGCTGATTTCTCTGCTCAGTGCTCATAAGAATTATAGAACTCATAAACATGAATACTGTGAAAATTAGAAATATATTAAATGAAAAGTCAGTGAGCTCTAAATATAATTCCATTTATCTAAGTATGAAGAACAATTTCACCTCTCTCTTCTTCTGGTTTGACCTCTTCCACTGGTCCTTCAATACTCAAATCTTCTTTTAGGTCCTTTGTGGGACAAGTTTTTCTCCTACATAATAGGAAAGAAGCAATTGATCAGTAAAGGAGAAATGTAGTTGTGGTTAGTAAAACAAATTTTAGGTGCTATGCTACTCTTACACAGAATTTTTTAAATGTTTCTGGTAAAACTTACTATAAACTATTTTCTGGTAAAACTTCTGGTAATCTTACTATAAGGAACTAATGTAGGAAAATTCTAATAGGTGGTAGGATTTATACTTACTGATAAATGGAATAAAATTTGTTGCAAGAAATTGGTCGTTCTTCAAGAATATTGCTATTAGAAAAGGGGCGTTGATTCAAAACAATTTGCATGAGATATTTCTCTAATTTCAAAGTCAGCCATTTCTGGGAAAGCAGTATAAATTAGAAGGAGCAAAAATACCATTTCAGATTTAAAGATAATAAGCTGTTAGAAAAATGTTATTTCCAAAGTATCTTTCTAAGCTACTATGTGTTGAATAATTAAATATTTCTCATTATCAGTATTTCTCTGATCCAATTCTAGGATCCTAAACTAGCCTTCATTTATTTTTGAAAAGATATTTTCTCACTGATAAAAGTTAAGAAAAATATTATTATCAACAAAGCAGGAAGTTTCCTTTAGTTTTTATTAAATTATTAATCTTTTAATAAAGAATTATTACAAGTTAATTTAAGAAAGTATATCAAGAATCATAAAAATCATATAAAATAGTACATATTTATTTATTCTCTTCAGAAATAACATAAGACTGTAAGTCTAGTGATATTTTAATTTCTATAAAATTAGAGACATAAAAACTTGTACCATACTTTAGTTAACATGATACTGTTTCCAGTACATTTTAATGTCATTTAATATTTCTGATGGTTGCATATTCTTCTTCACATACTCTTGTTGTTTCACAGTTCATTTAAGAGATCCCATTCTTTTGGGAGACCAGGAAAATACTCGTTATGTTTTCTTTCTTTGGTTTTGATTTTCTTTTCAAAATGTTTTTGTTGAAAAAAAAATGGGATCTTTTTTCTTGTTTGTTTGCTTTAAAACATAGAAAAATAAGTATCCCACCACCAATTAGTAAGTCAATTGGATTCTAATGCTAGTTGCATGATCTGGTAAATTATTATACACAATTAGGTCTATCTTCAAGTGTTGTCTTTTAATGTTCTGTTCTAATTTTATGTTCATTCTTCAATTGTTTTGTATTGAGGTAAGTCACATGATTTAAAATCAACCATCTGATTAAGCAGTCTCTCCCTTTCCCCCTCTCAGTAGTCCTTAATAGTGACTTATCTGCTTTCTGTCTTTGTGGATATTTTACATAAACAGCATTATATAAAGGTGACCTTTTGCAATAATATTTTATTTTATAGATAAAACATAGTTCCTTTAGTAATGAATGCATAGATCAATTTGGGATTGTTTCCACCTTTTAGCTATTGTGAATACTGATGTTATGAATAAGTTTTTCTCTGAATGCCTGTTTTGAACACTTTTGGGATGTATACCTCAGGGTGAAATTACAAATGGTAATTTTGTATTTCACTTCCTGAAGAACAAACTGTTTTTCTCAGTATCTGAGTCATGTTATATGCACACCAGCAATGTACAGGATTCCACTGTTGAATATAAGTGGAGAGCAGGCATCCTTATTTTGCTCCTGATCTTAGGTTGAAACTTTCAGTTTTCACCATAAGTACAGTGTGAGCTGAGGGGATTTCACAGACAGCTTTCATTGTGTTTAGGAATTTTCTTTACAATCCTAGATTTTTGGAGTGTTTTCATTATAAAATGAAAAGGTTGTTCTTTGCCACGTGTATTTCCCATCAATTGAGATATTCAGGCAGATATCCCTTTCATTTTATTAACATACGTATTGTATACAGAACCATCTTTATGTTCCTAAGATAAATCCAATTTGGTCATGATATATATTCTATTAATAGGCTGCTGGATTTACTACTAGTTGGCTAGTATTTTGTTGAGGATTTTGGCATCTATATTCAAAGAGACTGCTCTACAATTTTCTTGTGATGCCTTTATCTAGCTTTGGAATCAGGTTAATACTGGCCTTATAAAATGAATTAGGAAGAATTCTATTTTTTGGAAGAATTTAAAAACAATCACTATAAATTCTTTCAGTATTTAGTAGAATTTATCAGTGAAGCCATTTGGTTCTGGCTTTTCTTGGTTGGGAGGATTTTGATTATTGGTTCAATCTCTACTTCTTATAGATTAGTTCAGATTTTTCTATTTCTTTCTGAGTCAGTTATAGTAATATATGTGCTTCTAGGAATTAGTCCATTTTATGTTGGTTATTAAGTGATATGCAATTGTATATATTATAGTATCCTCTCACAATCCTTTTCATTTCGATAGGATATGTTGTTAATTAGCCTAATTTTTTAAAAGAAGTATTATTATTATTTTACTTGATTTTATTTTATTTGATACATGGTCTTACTAAGTTGCTGAAGTTGGCCTAAAACTTATGATCCTCCTGTTTTAGCCTCCCAGTTAGCTGGGATTACAGGTGTGTACCACCAGCACATCCAGACTAAAATGCTATTCATTTGAGTCTTCTTTTTCTGTCAGTCTAGCTAAAAGTTTATGAATTTAGTTGATGTTTTCAAAAAAACAACTAATGTTTTAATGAAAATTTTTGTATTTTTTTTATTCTCTGCTTCATTCATAATTTTTTAAAAACTCCCTTTCATTTTCTAGCTTTGGTTTTAGTTTATGCCTTTACTATTTTTTTAAAGTTAGCTTAGGAGATTTGTGGTCTCCTTATTTAATGTAAATTTTAGTCTAATGTAAATTTCTAAGTACTAATTTTGCTTATCCCATAAATTTTGGTACATTCATCTCAAAATATTTTCTTATTTCCCATTATTACTGCTGTGAATTACTGCTTTGATCCATTGGGGTTCTTTTTAAAGAATGTTTGTTTAATTCCATATATAAATGAATTTTCTAGGTTTCCCTCTGTTATTAACCTCTAACTTCATTCTGTCACAAAGAAACTTTTTATGAGTTTGATTTTTTTATTTTATTAAAATTTGTTCTGTAGTCTAATATGATCTATCCTAAAGACTCTTCCCTTTGCATATGATAATTTTTTGTGCTACTTAAGTCTATTTGCTTATCAATCTTGTGTTTAGTTCTTTTATCCATTTTTGAAAAGAGAGGAATTATATTCTCAAGCTCTTCTCATAGAAATGTCTATTTATTGCTTCATTTCTGTTAATATTTCACATATTTCAAAGTTACAGTTAAGTATGTGTATAGGTTTATTGTATTATATCTTCTTGATAGAATATCCTTAACCAATATCTCAAATCTTGTTTGTCTCAGGGAACAGATTTTTATTTAAAGTCATTTGTTTGTGATTTTAGTATAGCCACTCTAGTTCTCTTTTGGTTACTATTTTGCATGAAATATTCTTTATCTCCCACCTCCCAACCTCTGCACTTCTAAATAACTTGTGTCTTTGGAATCCAAGTGAGTCTCTTTATGTTTACAGATAGCCGGCAGTAGGATCATATATGCTTAACCATTCTACCGCACCTATCTTCTAATCAGAGATTTCAGTCCATTTTAGTAGTAGTAAAGTAACTACTCTGAAGGAAGGATTTATTTCTGTCTTTTTGCTACATTTTTCTACATTACTTATGTCTTTCCTTCCTCAGCTTCTCCATAACTGCCTTCTTTGGTCATTATTCGTTTTTTTTTTTTTTTTTTTCTAGTCTGTTGATTTAGTATCCTTTATTTTTCTGCATATTTTTAAAGAATCTTTCTTAGTGTTTACTTTGGGGATAACAATTGACATTTTAAGTTTATAAAGCTTAAGTTTGAATTAAAATCAATGTGATTTCAATACTGTAAAAAACTCCACTCCTTAACAGCTCTGCCCTCCCCATTCTCAGAAATCACACAATTATATATCCTGTGTCCATAACACAGATTTATAATCATGGGTTTTATTTATTTGTCTTTCAAATCATATGGGGAAATAAAGAAGTTTCAAGACAAAAGTACCATTACACTAAATTTTATATTTATCTTTGTAATTATTGTTACTGAGGGGAAAAAAAGACTGAATAAACCCTCTAGTTTCACTTGCATAGTTGACTTTAAAAAATCACTAACTTTGGAGATTATATAGCTGGGCAATACATTATTAGTTTCTCACTAGTCACTCTGCTGAGTAGTTATGCCAATAATGGTTGCCTATGTTACTTTATAAGATCTCTGGGGCCACTTTTGCTGAAAACACGGATTCTTCACTTGAGCTGGCAGATATCCAATAAGGTAACTGGAACAAAAAGAAAAAACTTGGCATCTCTGTCTTCACAATGTTCCTGTCTCCTTTGGAGCTTTAGCCTTTGATCTAAAAAAAAACACCTTCCAGCTACCAGCTACCAGGACCTGAAACACCAGACTGTAAGAGGAGTGCAAAGAGGTGGCATTCAAGTTCCTGCAAAATCTTTGCCTTTTCCAGGAAAACACATTAGCTTATCTCTCTTCCTCATTATTTCTATTCAGTGGCATTGAAAAACTGTTTTGGAGCAAGCTTCTCCATTGTTTGGCCACTGAATAAAGTTCTTACTTCAAGCTATCTCTTGAGACAATGGCCTTACCAAGCAGCAGCAGAATCAGATCTTTTCTCCTTACATTGTTGTTGTTTTTTTCTTTATTTCTTTATGTTTTCAGTCTGAAAGATTACTTTGAATATTTCTTATAGGACAGGTCTATTAGTGATACAATCCCAAGTTTTTATTTATCTGGAAATATCTTAGTTTTTTTCTTCAGTTTTGAAGACTAATTTACAGATTGTAGGATACTGGGATGAATGGTTTGTGTTTTTGTCTTTGTTTTCTCCTTCCAGCACTTTAAATATGTCATCCTTACCTTCCGACTTTCACAGTTTCTGGTGACAAATTAACTGTGAATCTGACTGAAGATCTCTTGTACATGAAAAGTCACTTATTTCTTCTTGCCTTTAAGATCCTCTTTGTCCCAGGCTTTTAATACACTGACTAAAATGTGTATTGGTGTAGACTTTATCTTATTTGAAGTTAAGTTTAATGTTCTTTTTTGCTATACATGACAGTAGAATGTATTTTGACATATAATTCACAAATGGAGTATAACTTCCCATTTTTGTGGTTGTACAGAGGTGGAGTTACATTGGTTGTGCATGCGTACATGAACATAGGAAGGTATGTCTGATTCGTTCTACTGTCTTTCCCATTCCCACCCACCTCCCTTCCCTTACTCTACCCTGTCCAATCCAGTGAACCTCTCCTCCTCCCTATTATCCACCTTCCACCACCACCTATTGTGAGTCAGCATCTGCCTATCAGAGAGAACATTTGGCCTTTGGTTTGGGGGGGATTGGCTTATTTCACTTATTGTGATTGTCTCCAATTCCACCCACTTACTGGCAAATGCCATAATTTCATTCTTTTTGTTCCAGCCAGTTTTCTTGAAATATTCTTTCTTCTTTTATTCTTGGAATCCTCGTGTGGGAATATTTGTTCATTTCTTGTAATACTTTGAGAAACCAGCCTCTACCTCAGATCAAGCCTGTCCAAGGAAGGGGGCATGACCCTTGTCCTTGGAAAGACCCAAAGAGCACTCCTAGGCACATACCCATCCTGCTGAGTTGTTATCTACAAATAACAGGAAATTGCAGATTGCCATACTAGTGACTGCTGTATTCTGCTGCCTTTCCTATCCTCTACTATCCCCCCTCCCCTCCCCTCCCATCTTCTCTCTCTACCCCATCTACTGTAATTCATTTCTCTCCCTTGTTTTTTTTTTCCCTTTCCCCTCATATCTTCTTATATGTAATTTTGTATAACAATGAGGGTCTCCTTCCATTTCCATGCAATTTCCCTTCTCTCTCCCTTTCCCTCCCACCTCTCGACCCTGTTTAATGTTAATCTTTTTCTCTCTCTCATGGGAGTTCATAACCCACTTAAATCAAATGTATGAAATATGATATGTCAAGAGCTTTGTACTGTTTTGAACAACCAATAATAAAAAATTTAAAAATTAAAATGATCAAATATATAATAAATAAATAAAATAACAGGAGAGATCTGCTGCACTAGGTGTCCCTGACTCAGTCAGGCTAGGTTGGAACCCATAGCAACCTCCAATCAGCAGGCGACAGGGAAAATACCTGGGATGCCAGATGACCCTCCCAGTAGTTTATGGTGGTTGATAACATGTTGGGAAACCATGTAGTTCAGCATGTACTCCCCTTGTGGCTTAAACCAATCAGTTCAAACGAATCCCCCTCTTGTACTAACCAATCATCCTTACCCAACTTGTTCCTGCCAGTGAATGTGCTAGTCATGTTTTAGAGTTGTTTTATGATTTTCCCGCAGTGTGTGATGATTTGCTTAGAGATGCTATGATGTATGTGAAGTCCCTGCCTTCCCCAAAGAGTGTATAAAACTGCTGCAAACCCTGGGCTCAGGGCCTCTGTGTGCTGTGTGTGCGGAGGACTGAGCTAGCTCGCAATAAACACCTCTTTGCTGCTTACATCGATCTATGTCTCTGGTGGTCTTTTGGGGGTCCCAAACTCGAGCATAACAAATTCCCTTTGGTTTATTGGATATATTTCATTTTCTTCATGTTCTCGTCTTCCATTTCAGACTGGATAATCTCTATGGACCTACCAAGTTTACTTATTTCTTTCTTCTGCTTGCTCAAATCTGCTGTTGAACCCCTTTAGTAAAGTTTACAGTTTCAGTTATTTTACTTTTAGTTCCAGAATTTGTTTAATTTTTATAATTTCTCTCTTCATTGATATTCTCTATTTGTTCAGACATCATTCCCTGGTTTCATTTAGTTCATTGTCTATAGTTTCCTTTATCTCATTGAGTACCCTCTTTTCTAAGGATAGTAAGTCTTTGTCTAGTAAGTCCAAATTCTCTGGGCTTCCTTGGGTATAGTTTACAGTTTATATTAGTCGGTTTTCTTCTTCTCCTTCTCCTTTTTCTTATTTTTCTTGTTACAAACTTTTTTCTCATAGTTTCTATGAAAAATTTCACATAATTTCTAATTTCAGACTTTCTATTTTGCTGCTATATTTGTTATAGAAAACTGGACATTTCTCATATTTTAATGTGAAATCAAAATTAGATTAACCTTCCCTTATTAAATTTGTTTTCCCTGTTTGTTCTGAGCTGCTGTTTGTTTAATGACTCTTCTATAGACTTTTGAAATGTCTTTATTCTTTGTCATGAGTGACTAACGAAATCTGTTTTCTTTGCTAACTGATGAGCTACTGTTTTGTCTGAGTTACTTTGTATGCCTAAAAACAAAAAAAGCAAAAAATAAAATAAAAAGTTCTCCCAATCTTAGCAGACTGCTCTATGTTGAGGTGCTCTTTTAGTGCTTACCCAGGCTGTTACAACCCTGCCTCTGGCTCCAGTTCCAGCCTGTGCCAATCTACTAATATTAGTTGGAGGTAGAAAATTGGGGAATTCCTCAGTATTTTCTGAGCATATTTCCAGTCCTCATCATATCTGTGTCTTTCTGGACTTGCCAGTCTATTGGAAGCTTTGAGACCTCTATCCCCTCTATCTCCCTTTCTAATTTCTTATATCCCAGGCATTTGGGTTTTTTTTTTTGTTTTGTTTTTTAATTTGTATGTGGTGCTGAGGATCGAACTCAGTGCCTCATAGGTGCAAGGCAAGTGCTCTACCACTGAGTTGTAGCCCCAGCCCTGTCCTAGGTATTTTGATCTCTCTACTGCTCATTCCAGTTTTTATCCATTGCCCCAGGCTGTTGTGGCAAGTTTGTGACTTTAAATGCTTTCAGAAAACACTGCCTGAAAACTAGCCCAGCCCTGTGATTGCTCCGCTTGAGGAAAAACAAAAGCAAGCCTTTGTGCTGGTCTTTTAGGGACTTGTCAGGCAGGTCAAGGCACTCAAAAGAGCTATCTGGAAATAAGGTCCCTCATGTTCCCTCTGGCACTAGTAATTTCTACCACAAGTATGAGATGCCGTCTTCCTGACTACCCTGATACAGGGATAGTATCACTGCGAGCAGGCATTTTAAAAACACCATGGTGCTCTCCTAGTACAATGCATCAGGTTTAATAAGATTTTCCTTGGTTATCCTAATTTTTTTTAGTGGAGTCCAGATTATCACAAATGACAATTCTAATGTATTTATTTATTTATTGACAATTTTCTCATTGTTTTTCTGTAGGAATGGAGTCTTAGAGACTCTTATGCTGTCATTTCCAGTAAACTCTTCATCTTTATATTTTTTAAAAGTGTATTTTAATTTTTAAAGTGAAAAATCCTACTTTCAATTTCCTACTCTTTTTGAAGTAAACTTAGTCAACCGCAGATTATCAAAATTTCAATATGAACAAAAAACAATAAAAGAAGCATGAAAGTTTCTTACCATTCTGCAAAAGAAGTTTCAACCTGTCAAAATAAAAGATCTCAATAAAAATCAAATTTTAAACATCTCAAAAAACAATTGGTAAACTTCACTTAAACTTGAACTCACTGACAAATTAGTCGGTTCTCTACTTCACATACCTGCTATAGTTTGGTAAAACTATGCTCTGTTGATTCCCAAACCAACTCCAATCTTTCTATGATTACTCACACCTAATTTTTTTCACTTTTCACTTCTGTGTTTCTAAATATTACCCATTCATCAAAGGCCAATTCAAATGCTGCTTATTCCCCCAAAGACTTTCCACCCAATAAGAAATGCATGAAATCTATTGAATCTTAATTTACTACCAAATAATGGTAAATATAAAATTATACACAAGTTTCACATATATATTTAATTTTCCATAATATTATGCCTCTTCTGGACTTCAAATTCCTTGGCAGGGCTCATATTCTACAGATATATCTTAACAATAATGTGGACTGTAAAAGTCATACATTAAAAAAAACATAGAGCTATAAAAATCAGAATGGTACATATTTTATAAATGATTTTTATTAATTAGTTATACATAATTAATTGTTCTCAGTTCCTATAGCCTACCAAAATCTGGTTACACACAAACATACACACACACACATACACACACACACACACACACACATGCACGCACACACCAACAACAAAATAAATACTCAGTGTATATATATTTTAGGAGAATTTTCAGAAATACAAAGCAGTCAGATTAGATTGATAATGAAAACAGACCAAAACAAATTCACTTCACAACACACAGATGAAAACTGTTTCAGAATAGGGCCAAGGATCTGTGTAGCTCCTAAGGAAATCAGCTTGCAAAAAAAAAGTAATAAAGACTTAAAATTCTTCACATTTACCTGTAAATGCTCAATGGGTATTTAAAAGAAAGATTAAAACTGCCTCAATTTTGCATCTGTCTCCTTTATTCTGAGTCTCTTGGATTCCAGAACAAATGTTTTAATCCATAAACATTCTGGGATGATTCTAAACTACCTATTAGGCCACAGTAACTTTCTCAGTACCAAAAAGGCACTGCCTGACTAATCCTGAGATAATGATATATCACCACCACTATGCCTGACCAAGATCACCTGCTTTTTGCAAACCTCCCCAGCCATGGAAAGCTCAATCCTTGCTTACATCCCCCTTTCTATAAAACCTCATTGTCAGCCGCTCAAAGTCAGGGATAAGGATGCAGATCCTCTGGTCTTCCTGCTGTCACAACACTTATTAAAGGTCCTTTCCTGATTTTCACCATTACTTCTTCTGCTTAGTTTTTGGATTGGGCAGTGGGACCTGATTTGTTGGGACCTCCAGAATCCAGCTTCTGACCTACAACTCCCAGTATCAAGAGTAAGTAGATGGTAGTCAAAGTAAACAATTGAAGAAATGAAGTGTTTGAGATGAATGAGTCCTGTTGCTTTGCATCCAAAGAATCCAGAATGCAGGGCTGAAAATGTGCCTTCTAGTTGTTGCCACATATAAGACCTCTAACCACGTGGGAGATTTGTCTAAAATGGAAAGGTTGGGCAAGCATGGAAGTGATGGTTCTAGAGAGAAGTAAAGAAAAACCTACAGAACTAGGCTAGATTCTCACAGTGGGCACACAGGTAGGTGTGTGTAAATAAATAAATAAATGCAATTAAATAAATAAATGCAATTAATTCAGAAATAGACCACTGCAAATTGCTTTCCTCAATATACTATCTCTTATTTCAAAGAACCCCAGTAAAATGTTCTATTTAGGTGATACGAAACTTTGATATAAGTATACTCCAAGAAATGCTAAAAACCAACCAAATAAACATAAAAGCCCAGAAACACATGCTTGAAACCAATAGTCAGTCCAATCTGTCACTTACAAATTTAAAGGACAATGAAAATTATACAAGTACCTAAAGAAAGATTGTAGTATAAAAAATGAAAAAAAAAACTATGTACAACCAGAGGAATGAGAAGTTATGCTCCATTTGTGTACAATGTGTCAAAATGTACTACTTTCAGATATAACTAATTAGAACAAATAAAAAAGCAAAAAAATTAAAGAAAAAATAAATATGTAAGAAAACATTTTTAAAAATGAGAAAATTTACTTCAGATGTAACAGAAATACTGGAATGAACAAAAGTTAGTATCATAATAAGTAAATTCAAAGCATATGTCTTTATTCTTTATAGTATCCAAAATACAAAAATGAAACTTATTACAAGACCATCATTATTCAAATATGGACTAGTTTAAAATAAGTGATGATTTCAACAGAACATCATGGGATGAAAAAAATCTACATATATAAGAGAATCTAGTTTGTTATAAATTTACATTTCAAATCAATGGAGATGGAAAATTCAATGTACACAGATAATTTTAATTTCATGTGGAAAAAACTAAGTATCATATTTGCCTCACTCAATAGGCAACCTTTCAGTGGTCTAAAGAGCTAAATACAAAATGTAAAAATTATACAAATTTTAATAATCTTGAGATTTTTTTAAACAATTCAAAAGTGCTAACATTTGTATGATTCTATGATTTGTGTAACCAGATTTTCAATAAAATCCATTTTTTTCTGTATTAAAATTTTTCTGTCTTCAAAATGATTATAGTTAAAGGACTAGTAAAAGTGAATAAAATAAAATAAAGTTTGCAATTAACATCGCAAATAAAAGATTATTATCAATGTTTCTAAAAATATGGAAATGCAAAAGATGAGAAAAATGAAAAAGATATATAAATAGAAGTTAACAGAAAACTAAATGCAAAAGAAACTTTATATGGCTAATTGATCTATGGATGTGCACGTGTGTGTACATGTACACAATTACATACACACATGCACAGATATATTAATGTGTTGCAGAATAAATAATTTAACATAATGTATGAAATATGACATGTCAAGAGCTATGTAATGTTTTGAACAACTCATAATAAAATTTTTTTTAAATAAATAAATAATTTAACATTATCTATTCAGTAATTTGCCTATCTTTCCTAATATCTCCCGCTCAGTCTTCTCAAAACAGGTTTTGGTGTTTGCTATTCTGCTGGAATTTTCTTGTGCTAATAGTATAATAGATACAATGGAGTCTAAGAAACTCTAAAAGAGACTATATTCCTCTACATAACAAAAAAAATGGGTGAATACAATTTTATTGACAATCCCAGTGAATATTTTCACATATATAATAAGTTATTCTAAAATATGTGTAAGAACTATGTATCAACAATACTGAAAATAACTAAAAGAAAAAAAATCTTCCATGCCAGATCTCAAAGCATATTTTTAAGCATGTAAGGGAGTGAAATAACCTATTGAAATAAAAAGATAAAACCGGGTAGTGGGTAAAAGAGGTACATAGACGAAATCTATTTGAATACTTGACATATGATATATGTGGATAGCTAGTTTCTAAGAAATGACCAGATTTGCAATAAATTCCATGTGGAGAAAAAAGTAAAACATTTTTTTTCAAACTTTTTTTTTACATGAAAAGTCAATTTCACACTTAAGCAATTAAATCTCAAATGGAAAACTAAAATTTTAGAAAATATGAAGTAAACATTTTGTATGACTCTGTAGTAAAGAAGATTTCTTAAGACAAAAAACACTTAAAGGTAAAATGATAAACTAAGTTTAAGTACATTAAAATTAATAATCCTTTTATTAAAAGATATAGAGTAAAAAGAAAAGCCAGGGAGATAAAATTATTTCTAATACATTTAATTTCCTGACGATGCTGATTTGTACCTAGAAGTCAATAAGAAGATATGTGTAAACCCGAAAGAACATGGGCAAAAAATAAACATGCATTTTGCAGAGAAGAGAAAGAATATTCAGAGAGAATATTAATAGGTTCAAAATTAATTAATAATCCAGAAAATATTATCTCTTGGTTTTGGAAACTGACAATACAGGGTCCTGCACAATGAAGAAATCTACAGCAGGTGATTTACATGATAGTGATCAAAACCACTTGAAATCAGGAACCACATGTGTCAGGAACAAACTGTTAAGAGGCATTTCAATGAATTGTGATATAAATACATAAAAAATTTAAAGTCCTCAATGCTTAATTAATATTTTATTAATAGTACATCAGAAAATGATGTGTTGTATAAAGATAAAAGCAAACTCAACCAAAGTTTTAGAAATAGAGATGAATTTGGCATGGAGAAACACTTTAGGAAAATATATTCAAAATATTACTTCAGCAGCGATTTTGTAAAAGAGCCAAATTTTTAGGTACCTGATATTGAAATGCTAATATATAACAACAAATCTCAATATTATGTGTAATTATAATGCACCAGCAAGATTAAATAAATAAATTTTTAAAATAATAAGTGTATCCTCTCACTCATCTTCAAAACAGGACATATACCTTCTCTTTCTAAATATATTATTCCCAGTAATAAGTTTCAAACTGTCCCCTAAAATTATCTTGCAATGGTGATTAATTCACAGTCTGTGGCAAGACATTAAAAAACCTTTTATAAGATAATACACTTTCTTAAGCTTCATGTCCCTCCATATACTCTTCCCTACCTCTGGCTAACTTTCCTCCCTCCGGGCCCTCATTCATGCAATTTCTCTCTTAACGCAATTTAATCCTTACCTCTTTCCACAATGACATCGTTGCCCTCCTAAACTCAGGATAACTTTTACCCTTAAAATTTCATGTGACATTTTACTGACCACTTCTGTAATCATTAGTATGTGTGTTGCGGTTGTCTGTGTGTACCTGCTGTCTTTCTCACATTAGATTGAAAGACCTGGATGTAAAGAATCCACACATAATTCATCATTATCCATAGTACCTCCTGGAACTTGGTACATTATAGTCATGACACTGAATATGAATTATTCACTGTGGCAAGGGAGATACACAATATCTTGTCAGGAAGACCCAACGGTACAACCTCCAGATGGGAGAAAAATAACAGCATAAAAAGAAAGAGGAACATATGGCCTATTCAC